GTGTGATCTGCAGCAAACAGTACAGCAGTTTGACACCTGAAACAGTGCATCTGTGTGCGGGAGTGAAAGTAAAAATTTACCAAAATAGGTTACTTCCAAAGTCGAGCAGTCCTGTTTTCTCGCAGCACCTTTTGAAGGCATAAAGTTTCGTCCGGGAACATTGCCCCAACCACAATTGAAGTGTCTGAATATTCAGACATCTAAAAATTGAATTCGATGCAAAAAAAATGCTTCTTCTCACTCCTCACAGAATGGCAGAATGAAAGATGACACTGAATTCTCGCAAATAACCTACAAATCTCGAAAACGGAGACTGTTAGGAGAAATAGAGATCAGGTTTATTTTCCCAAGCGTTCGGAGAAATAGATATCTAGTCACCATGATAATAAAACGTATTTTACTTTCCCTCCCGTCTCATGCTCAGGCACTGTACAGCACTTTTCTTGTTTATTTGTTTTGTTTTTATGCAAATCAACCTATTGGCTATTGGCAATATTCTTGGCCTATCCGTCACAAATGATTCATTTTTTAGATATATTATTCAATGGTTTTTATTCATACTAGCAGATTGATTATGTTGCTACTTGGCATACTTGTAGAGTAATTTTCGTGCTTTGTGCTTGTACCAATCCAGGGGAGTTTCAGTGGGAGTGGGGCATGCTCTGAGGTAAAAAAACAACAAAAAAACCCTGAAAAAATGCTTAGAGGACTTGGGGTGTTCAGGGGGCATGCCTTTTCCGTCCTGCCAAAATTTGATGTCTTGCAATTAGGGTTTGAAATTTTCTTGGCAATGATTAAGTGGCCTTATGTCGCAGCCAAAAATACGACTGTGTGACCCCCAAAAACAGTGCACAACCTGTGTGCGGGAGTGAAAGTAACTTTCACTCCGGCATTCAGAGATGCTCTACTTTTGCCTTTGAGGACCAAACTCAAACTGCCTTATTTTTGGTTGCAGAACCTACAAATAGGCTCAAAAATAATAATTTAGATCTAGATCTATATTGTGGCGAATCAGATAAAGCTGAAATTCGTGTAAAACTTAAGATAAATAAATGTTTTCTAAGAGAAAAGTTCTCTATTTCTCAGAGTGTTCGCGAAAATAAACTTGAACTCTATTTCTCCAAACGGTTTCTGTTCTCGAGATTTGTTGATAATATAAGCGAATGAAGTGGCCTGTGTGTGTGTGTGTGTGTATAAGGTGTGAACAGATGGGGAGGGGCTTAGAGGGATTTTTTTGTTTTTTACATGAAGAATTTTAGTTTTTGCTGGATGACTAAATGCAAAATTGGTTACTGCCAAGGTCGAGCAGTCTTTGTTTTCTCGCAGTACCTTTTGGAGGTATTTTCAAATAAAGTATGTCCGGGAACGTTGCCCCAACCACGACTGCAGTATCTGAATGCAGACATTTAAAAATCTCTAGCTCTAGAAATTGAAAAGATGCAAAAAATGCTTCTTCCCAGTCCTAGCAGAATGGCAGAATGAAAGGTTGACGCCTAAATCTCGTAAATAAGCCAAAAAATCTCTAGATTGGAAACCGTTCGGAGAAATAGAGTTCAGCTTTATTTTTCAGAACGTTCTGAGAAAAAGTCACTTCGTAACGTAAAATGAGAATGCCTGAACCTGAGATGGGAAGGAAATTATAAAATAATTTAAAGTAATAAACCAAACGTTTCTTACCTAAACCCAGCGTATGTGAATGTGAGTATAAACGTTCTAAACTGGAAGATCGCCTGTCTCTCTTTTCGGAGCTCTGCTCTGATGCTTTCCCCCCAAAATAATGACAAAATAGACTTACTTATTATCCTTCCTTGTCTTCCTTGGTCACCCCTAGCTGAGCATCTGTTTTTAAAGTCTTTTTAGTGCTACTTGTGGGCTTTTTGGCTTTAATACCAGATTCCGTTTTGTTCACTGTTATACTACTTCTGGTATATTTGACAACCGCTTATCCGAATTACTAATTTTTTTTCATAGGTCTAAACCAAACATTTGTACTCCGTGAAAATGTAGTGGTTGAATACACGTGAATTTTATAAAATGAATAAAGTATCGGCATCAGAAAACCTTACTTTTGTGTGCGATCAAATTTGAATGCAGTCCTGTGCGTGAACTTGTGACATGACATAGGCTTATTAATCTAATAACCATTAAAATTACAGGGTCAGACGTAAGTGGTAAATGTATGAGTAGCAATGCCAATCGGGCTTTCCCGGGAGGCGAAAATATGAGGAATCGTAAAATCGAGCACTTGTCAAAACAATGAAATCAGAGAAACTGGCGTTTTTCTGACCGTTGGGTAATTTTAAAAAAATTTCTATTTTGTTTCAACACCTATACATTACTTGAAGATTTCCCTGAAAGTGTTGATCAAAGGCACTTACTTTTACTTTTCCGATCCAGCGGCATCAAAGGCACAAAAAATATAATTTTGCAGTTTCCTTTTTCTCTCAAGCCATATTATAGTTATAGAGTTCACCAAATTTGGCGGCCATTTCTCACTAATTTTACCTTTGGCATGAGGCGACCCCCACCTCCTTCGAAATGGGGTTATTATTTTGTTTTCACCGAAAACAAATAAAAATTAACAAGCTATATATGATGATATCAATAATAGCTCTACCACCCAAAAGTGACAAGCACCTAATTCTACTGCGCCACGACACTATATTTCACGATGTGGTGGAATCAGACGCCCATCAATTTTTGGACATGTGGCGATATTGGCTATCATTTTAAAGCTTGTTCATTTGTCTTGCTTTCGGTGGAAAAATTAGCGAGAAAATGGTCGCCAAAGTTTGGCGACTTCCAAAGATTGAGAGTCCTTATAAACTTCAAATTTACATTTTTGTTCTTTAAATCAACATTTTTCAGTAAAATCCACACAGAAATATGTTTTTAAATGGACCTTAAAGGTGTTGAGTCAAAAAACAAAAATTTGATAACAATTCCCAGACGGACAGAAAATTGTCTGTTTCTTCGATTTCATTATTTTGACAAGGGCCTGATTTCACCACGATGTCTCACATATATGGCTTTTGAACATTTGTTGTTTCTTTCTCTGTGTGAAATTTTTTTGAGGGGGAGTGAGGCGGATGTAAAATTCACTGCCAACCATATTTATCTGTTCACCGTCATTCTTCCGTTCAATGTAAAGAGGTGTATTATATATATATTATATAACATGATGTCAAATGTCCTGAAAACTATTTGTGTCTCTTCAATGTTGTGCCTTACATTAAATGTGAAAGGTAATATTGCGCAATTTTTTCAGTTTGTTTCTGCCCGCGCATACACAAATACTTTACTACTTTAATTCAAAAGTCTGTCATGTCTATTTTTTTGTTTAATGTTCCTAGCTTTGTGTAATCACAACTGCGTCAAACCTGCATTTATGATAATTTATCACTAGATGGTGTTGGACAGAAGGGTGACAGCCCAGCTTTTGCTGGATCGATAACAATAACAGCAACTCATTGTGTCACAATACAATTAGATACCGTAGCTATTTTTTAGAAGTTGATTTTGAATTTTGTAAGCAGCAGTTATTGTCAATAAAATCTGATTTAAAAATTTGGAATCCAAAGCATCCTGAGCAGTAGAACACGGGTAAAGTGTTTATTCAAATGAAGACAGTGTATTAAAAAACAAAAGGGGTAAAGGCAATGTGTATTTTATGCTGATTATAGCTGCAAGTGTGTACAGGAGATCACGACTCCACAACCATTTCTGTCTAGTCAAGGTCTTTAGAGGAAAGGATGTGTTTTTAAAAATGAACTGAATGCTAAAGGCAAGAGACCTAAACAAGTTAATACTTAGTCCCTCTCCTTGAAGAACGGCCTGAGACCTAAAAATCTCAGAAATTAAATGCAGGCACATTTCATGAGAAACAAAAATGCAGAGACCCCTCTGAAATCTAATAGGAGAGATCAAGAAGAGTAAGGCATTGAAAGATGACAAACCATACAAACCACGTGGAACTTTAGGGTCTTCAAAATAAACCTGTATTTTATTGATGTAATGAGGGCAGATAGATTGGTAAACACACTCCAAAGATGATTAACAGAGCAGATCAAAGAAAATTTTGGTCACTAGAGGGGTCATGAGTAATCAAAGGGTCCTACATGTAAATGAAGTTGTATGATAATGATGGTAATTATTGCTTTCTTCTAATTTTATATAGCCTTTTTAAAAATTAATTAAAAAAAAAAAATTTTTTTGGGTGCAAATAAGGTAAATGCCATAGAAGGAGATTAAAGATTACATTTTTATTGGTTCAGGTATATCTTTCTCAATTTGGAAGTTAATGCAGGTCAACCCAGAATCTGAAGGTACATATTTACTGTCTTTGAATGCAAAGCTCATTAATTATTATATTTGAATTTGAGTTATAAAGTTTTAAAAAACACAATTTTAAATGAAGTAAAATGATAACCTCTATCTGTAATTCATGTTTAATGAAAAACATTTTTGTCTGGTCACCCAAATAACTTACATTTGTAGTTCAGTCGAGCTTAAAATAGAGCAGCAACTGAAAAATAGCTCTAGATAGAGAAAAGATCTTATTCTCGTTAATTAAAAAAAAAAAGTTAGCCATACAAATTTCCAGCACCAGCTCACCACCAGTGGGGGATTCTGTTGGAAATGTCTCTATTTCATATGAACATTTATGTGGACTTGTTCAATTGTAAAACGTGGGTGGTTGGCGGGTGCTCTGGTGTGGTTTGCTTCTTCTTTCCTTTCGAACATCTATCGTCCTTATCTCCCCTTCTTCTTTTTTATGTTTGTTACTCTCTTGTAACACCTCTAGTCTTCTGGCGCTCATATGACCTTATGCAGTTGCGAGTGCTGTAAAACCTCTACTAAAACTAAAACATCAATTGTAAAAAAATGTACTTTTTCTATAATCCCTGCCTAATGAATACTACATGTATATATGAAGTTCGTGGAAATCATGAAAACTAGATGACTGACTTGAGAAAATGGCACGGATTTGATGGACTAAGGATAAAGGTGTTATCTCCTTTGTCTTGCACGAAAAGCTGTTTATAAGTTGAGAATAACTCAGACTGCTCTCTTATTCTTGAAAATCACAAATGTGTGTCTAAGAAAATGAGTGGCATGAGAAGAGATGTTTATCTGTCCTTGAAGGCTTCATTTTGCTAATTTTGACAACTGTTAATCATACAAACTTTTAGTTTGTAATACATGTACTTCAGGATTTTCAAATTTATCTTGTGTCTTAGTTTAGTAAATCAGCTCGAGATAGAGGGGTGGGAGTCTTGTTTGTATATTTTTGTTGTTGATCAGATAATAAGATAAAATTTTATTTTTACTTTTAAAACCATTCCAATTTCATTTGTTTGCTTTTTATTCACAGGAATCCACACCCTCCCACCATATGGGCGTGAAGCAACGCGAGACCTGGGTTTCAAGTGTCCATCTGTCCTGGAAACGCCCAATGGGTTCGACTACCATCTGAAAGTTGGTGATGAAGTGGAAAAGAACTGTGGTGCTCCTTGTTATGACATGTTCTTTGATGACAATGAGCTGGAGTTTTCCCGCTGGTGGATTGGGATTTGGTCATGCATTTGCTTAGCCTCCACCTTGTTCACCGTTCTCACATTCCTGATAGACATGCAGAGGTTTCGATATCCGGAGAGACCAATCATCTTTCTGTCCGGCTGCTACTTCATGGTAGCATTGGCCTATGTTGTGGGATTTGCTCTACGTGAGAAAATATCGTGTAATGAACCTTTTGAGCCTCAGAATGATCACACTGCACCTGAAGACATGCTGAAAGTTGTGACACAGGGCACCAAGAAGGAAGGCTGCACCATCCTGTTCATGATGCTCTACTTCTTCAGTATGGCCAGCTCCATCTGGTGGGTCATTCTGACCTTGACCTGGTTTTTGGCTGCTGGGATGAAGTGGGGTCACGAAGCTATCGAAGCCAATTCCCAGTATTTCCATCTGGCTGCCTGGGCTGTCCCTGCCATCAAGACCATTGCGATTCTCGCTATGGGCCAGGTGGATGGAGATGTGCTTAGTGGCGTATGCTACACTGGAATTTTTGACGTTGATGCTTTGAGGGGCTTTGTCCTAGCGCCTCTGGTTGTCTACCTCATTATTGGCACGTCGTTCCTTTTGGCTGGATTTGTTTCTCTATTCCGTATCCGCACTATCATGAAGAGTGATGGCACCAAAACTGATAAGCTGGAGAAGCTCATGGTTCGCATTGGGATCTTCTCTGTACTCTACACTGTGCCGGCTACCATCGTGATCGCCTGCTACTTCTACGAGCAAGCTTTCAGGGATAAGTGGATGGTCACATGGCATGCTACAAATTATGAAATTCTCAACATCAATGAGCCATTCAACGTCAAGTCCAAGCCGTGGCCCGACTTCAATGTATTCATGATCAAGTACTTAATGACAGTCATTGTCGGAATCACTTCTGGCGTGTGGATCTGGACTGGGAAGACTTTCCACTCTTGGAGGACTTTCTCGGGCAGAATATTTGTGCCCAAAAATAACGAGTCAGTTGTGTAAGAAGATAGTCGAATAGTTCCGGAGGCATTCCGTGCTCTGGACTGTTTGGCAATGTGGTACACAAACTGCGAAATTGTGCAAAAGTATGTGGATCAAGTACCAAATCATGAAAGGATCTTGTGTGGACGATGCTGTGTGGATAATGAGATTGTTGGCGGTTAAAGTTCAACTTCCTCATTTCCTTATTGTTGTGACTGATGGAAATCTGTTTTGAATCTTTGATTGGTAAGGAAAAGTGTGAAAAGAAGGAAGTGAAGCTGAATTGAGTAAAAAGTGTGATGGTCGTGTGTGAGCATATTTTTACGATATAGCGGTATGAATCTGAGTTTTCCTTTTTGAAGTATGTGGTGTGTCAATGTGCTGAGTTTGTGAATTATTTATGATCTTGTATATAAGGAAGAAGCATGAAAGTTTTTCTGAGAGTTGATAGGACTAAAGTTTTGTGCATTTCTTAAGAGAAAACTGGAGAGTTTTCCTCTTTGTGTTAAAAGATTTTTTTTAAAAATTTGAGCCTGCTTTGCACCGATCTGAACAGGAAGTGTAGTTTGTATGGTGAATACTATGGATTACTACGGCCACTTTCATGTTGCATCGGTGTACAGATTGTTCTGACCAATTTTAGTGTTGACCACTGACTCGTGGGTAATCTGATGCAAAATGAACAAATGAAAGGTTTGATCTGACACGGTTTCTGATATTTGTACATTTTTCAGCAGCGCTTTTCCACATGGGAGAACACGTTTTATGACAATGTGTATATGGTCTTCAGTGGGAGAAAAGCAGAGATTTGCAACTACTGAATTACTTATGCGGACATCATGTTGTTTTGAAAGCAGTGGGAATTACTGCCAGAATTCGAGGAATTTTTTTTGTGTGTATGTGCTGGTGTTTCTGGTCTTTTTTAATTTCAATATGGCTGCTACAGTACAGTCCCCCTTGGATTTTGTCTTTTGGTTTGTTATTTTTATATTTTTCTTATATTATAAGTTATATTGTATAAAACTGAAAGAAATAAGGAAATTCACATATTTTTAATATAGAATTATTGGTAGTCACTCTGGGATACCATGTACTGCAGGTTCTGGAAAGATTTGACACATGGTGTTCATATATACCATCTCTTTCATTGTGTCATTCTCACTTTCATCTCTGTAAATATTTCATGTCATGTATAAATGCAGTGTTTTTGGCGACACTGCAATAACTCAAGGGTCAGGGATTGACTCTGAGGATGCAATGTTTTTATGCTGTCATTATCTTTTCAAAATGGTGGCCACACTTTCATTGTAATTACTTTGGCCACTTCCTTGATTTAAGATATGATTATTTTTTAATATTTTGCAGATAATTATGTGGCAGGGAATATTGAACAGAAGGTGTGACAATGAGTCAACCACATTGATTTACTTTATTACAGGGTTTGGAATCGGGTAGGTGATGAAAGTGCAAGACACAGTACAGTAATCTGATCTTCCAAGGCCTGGTCTCTTTGGTTTTGCAGATAATTGTAGAAATATTTTGTAAGTTTTCAGATACTAGAGCACTCACAGAAAAAAAACATTTCTGTCAAGTCTCTAGCCTTATAAAACTTTTTATTTTCCTAGAACCAAAGATGATGGAGAGTTCGTTAGATTTTAGTAGACTTTTTGTAAGAGATTCTTTTTAAAACATTTTTTTGATTTAAAAAAAGGTTATTTTATACATTTATATTTTTCATGTTTTGACAAGGCTTTTTGAATTTGATTTTCATCATGAATTCGTATTGTGACAAACTAGTCAGCCACAAGAGAGGTTAGAAAGTACAATCAGTGTTGAGAGGGTGCAAATTAGAAATGTTCTGGAAAGGTTCATCTGTGTATTGAGATCAGAGAACTGTCCAGCCTTTTTCTTCCTGTTGTGGGACAAGCAAGTGTAAAAAAAACACAGCATAGATTGTAATCCTCAAGAAAAGTTCGAAAGTTTATCAACTCCAATTTTTTATTTCTACTTATCATCAGATGCAGTACTGGAAGGTTTGAGAAATTGTAATATCCATTCAAATTGAACTGCAAGTTGATTCTTGAAAGTTATAAAATTATAAGTCTTGAATGTGTGTATGGGGCGACTGATAGTGTTACTGGTAGTCACAAGCCAACTTTGTGTCCAGCTTTCTGCATCATGGACACTTGGACTGATGTAAGGTCTTGTATTGATTGTTGGTTTTGTGGACTGGTTGAGTGAAAGCAAGTCCTCATCAAGCTGTTCAAATGTTCTAAGCCCACAAAGAAAATTTTTTTTTTGGCAGAGAAAAAAAAACTGGAATGTTTTTTTAAATTTTAACAAGTAATTGAACCTAATTTATGTATGAACTTTTCTTACTTTTTTCAGCGTTTAGAATTTGAATTTTGATAACATTTGTCTTGAGCCTACGAGTAATATAAATTAAACAACAAAGAGCCTCCTTTAAAAATAAAAAAAATTGGGGGCTCAATACATCTGAACACCTTGCTGATGAGATAGAATTTGTGTGTCATAGTGCAGTGTGTTGTATTGAGTGGACCTGTTTCGTTTCCGTAGCGACAAGACAAAAGCAGCAGAAGACTTGGACAGGCTTGTGAATAAAATCGTGATGCTTGGAAAGTGTGGCAGTTAAAAGATTGAATTGGAAGACTGACATTTGAATCATGTTCTGACATTCATTTTTATCGTTTACTTTGTTTTTGTACTCTTGTTCTCCTCTTCTGTTTGGTTTAATTAAGTAGATAATAATTAGTGCGAGCCAAAATTTCATCAATTTTCTTCTTTCCATTCACTACGGGCCATACACTCACAGACAGATTAGATTGCACAGGCATTTACTTTAAAGGGAGGGGAGGAACCACCTTGTACTCTTAAAGTAAAGTTAAAGCACTGTGCTCTTTGAATTGAACTCAAAACAGCATTTGGCTGAAAATATCAACCTAGCTATCAAGACTAGATGAAGATGTTGTTCATTCTTGGGTCAAAGGTGAAGAAATTACATTTTTCGTTGAGAGTCCTGTAATTTTTAAGACGTTTTGATTCTGTCGCTGATTTTTAGCTCCTTTAAAACTGGTCTTGAATCTGCAGGCAGGCACCATAAATAAAAGGCCTAGCAGGATATTTTTACAGAGAATGGCATTTTCTTTCACCCTCTGATGTGTCTGAACATTCTGTCCTTTAGATAAATATTATCTGGTTTTATTGTAGGTGTATGGCCCATCAACTTTCATGCAGAACTTCATCTTGTAAATAATGTGGAAATCCCTTTGTGATGTGAAATGGCTTTATTATTGACAGTCATGCTTTTTCTTTTTTCGGATTTTCATCCTTATCTCTCACTCTCACTCGTTTCTCATGAATCACATATTGAAGTTGTCACAACAGGTCAGTAGGTCTATTAGAACTGAAGTGCAAAAGAGAAGGGTTGAGAAAAAAAAAAGATTAATTTACTCATCAAGTCTTTGGTTTGTTGGTTTTACAGAAACAGAAAGGCGTGGTAGGGGTAATATTGTGAATCCTATTGGTGACTTGTCTTTATCTTGACCATGTGAATGTTATTAGGAATACAGAACGAGAAGTGAATTGTTGATGGAAATAATTCTTGTAGTTTCAATGATTCAATAAAGTCTCAAAGAATGTGAAAAGCAATTGAAGTTGCGACCAATGTCTTGCCTGTCGATGATATGTTGATTATTGTGATTAGTAAATTGAAGAGTTCTGGAGTCAGTTTCCTTACCACAAATTCCCCCATGTTTTATCTTCCTCTTCAGTACAGAAAAGGGATTTAATGAGCAATGTGTGTGGGGGGTTAAATTTTTTTTTTTTAATTAAGGGGAAAGGAAAGTTAATTCAATTATATCATTCTTTCAAATTATAAACTGTAAATTGTAGTTACATAGGGTCAAGAAATAGTACGAACTAATGGAAGGCTTATTATTTAGTAAAAAGTATTTTGTGAAGTGTAGTAAATGGTTACTCTTGAGGATCTCACAGAAGAATATATACTGATAACATATTATAACATACACAGTTGACGCGACTCCAGATTATAGAGATTTTATTGTTCTTGAAACAACTTTGGACTTTCAGAGTTTCAAGAGTGAATCCAGGGAAAAGTTCTGCCTTGAAGGCAAAAAATTAATTCTGATGGGGTCGGTTGAATACTGTTGTTCTTATGTTCTGCTGGTAAGTGGGAATAGTGGAATAGCTGTGAATATTGACCCATTTCTTGTACAATCTCAATGCGTTGGTTGTTTTTGTTGCGCCATATAGTTCTTCTTTTTTTTTCTGTTCCTTTGTTTTTATTTCTTGGTTATTTTTATTATATTTTTTTCATCTAATATTTTTTTGCAAATGAATCAATGTTATGTGAATAAAGAATTCTTACAAAAAGTACTTACATTTTTACTTTTATTCTTGTCATTCAGAGCTTTTATTAACTAGGTTTCCTGAAGTGTAGTGGCTAACATGGAGCTACATGTCTGTCTCCACACAGTATGAACAAACAGGGTTTTTTAGCCCAGGTCAATCATTCTTTGACGCTAATGTCGTATGATTATAATTATTTGCTTTATGGATATAGCCTATATATGTACAACAGATTCTTCCTCATCACCCTTGGCTCACTTTTGATTACAAGAAACAAACTGGGGACTGGCGGAGTTATAATTATAATATAGTTCGGCTCTTTGCCATTGAAAACGGAAGACATGATTACCGTTCCTGAATGGGGGAGTCTGTCTATTGTACCTATGTTTTTCTGTTGAGATTCTGTATCTCATCCTGCCCAGGCGAGATAAAATCAGCCAGTCTTTATGATGATACACATCATGTATGTAGATGTGGGTATTTGCACTTGCACGGGTGCTACCGTAGCTAAGTTGGTATCATGCTCGCCTATAGAGCAGATGGCCCTGGTTAGAATCCTAGACCGGGCTTTTTCGAACTTGGGTTGTTTTGTGGAGTGTTGAAGGCTTTCAAAGGCTTTCAACCCATTTGGCTCGGGTCTTATCGAAGACATGTTAAATTTAAAGGTCCCTTATACAACCTTGCTCTTTGCGATTTATGCCATGAACTTTGATGTTTTGGCAGCATGAAATTAAAATAGGGTTGATTTTGTCTCAGATGAAACAGGGAAAAGGACAGAAGATGCAATTGTGGTAAATATGGACAAACCTTTAGGAACAACAGTTTATCTCTACTTAGAGATGTTTAAATTTTAAATTGCATTAAGGAGGCTGTGCACAATGCACATACATGCCAAATTGTGTTCTTATAATAATTTCCAAAGTGATTGAACTGGGAAATCCTTAAGTTTAAGATTTAAAAAAAAGCATTGTTACAACATTAGATTTTTACTTTGATGTTGCATTTTTGAAGAGTGTAGTATTGTCACAAGCAATATTTGCTGCACAAGGCTGCTTAGATTTGCGCATTGTTGTTGGCACCACCGTTGTTCAGAAATGTGTTGATTATCCCCCTGGGGCCCTGAGCAAATGTTCTTCCAAAGTGCGCTGGTCAACCAGTGAAATAAAAAAAAAAAGCCATTTTAATCTTTGTAAAATCTCGGGCGGATTACCAAACCCTTTGATGATAAGCTAGATGACTTGGGATTGATAATAAAAACCCCCCCTAAACCCAGCAGCAAAGCAAACGAACCAAAACAACCCAAAAACAAAACATTGTGTCACTTTGGGGCCGTCGTTTGTAACGTTCTGTCTTGATTGATCTTTTCGTTGCTCGCTTGGCAGAGGTCGTTACTGAGCGAGTATGGCGTGGCTGCACCTGCCTGAAGTAGCGAGGCAGGAGTTTGGCTGGTGCGCTGGTGTACATGTAGTTTGCTTCTTCTTTCCAATCGAAATATTGTTTTTATAAGTTATACGTCCTCCTTTTTTGTGTTTGTTACTCTCTTCTGACACTTCTAATCTTCTTCACTTATATGACCTTATTGTTTAGTAAGTGCCGTAAAACTTACTTTAAAAAATGAAGAAAAAAAACCCAACAAAAAACTAACGAAGACCTAACAGTTCGCCACCTGAAAATTACGAAGTTCTGTTTTGAGAACTTTACTGAGAAAACCTGGAGAACAGAAATCAAATTAAATGTTCTATCTGCTTTCAAAATCGTATGATTATTCTGAGTCATTATCAAGATATTAAAATAGTCTAACAGCATTCGAAAAGAGCTTGACATATCGTGAAACTCAATTTTTTTAACGTCAAATATCTCAAAACTAGGTACCGGGTGCTGAGCAAACAGAACTTCATACTAAGGTGGCGAGTTGTCCTAGTCCAAGCCTACACTGTGCGATAACTTCCCTCTGTTGGCCTACTACTCACTACTACACAGGTGTGAGAGAGTGATAGCCCGAAGAAACCTCACCACAGTCTGTCCTCGGGGTTTGATGCACCCCGCATAATTTAGCTAAATTTGGTGTTTTTTTGGGCGTAATTTCTGATTATTTTCCTTTATCATTCTTTCGTAGAATTAACATAATCGCATAATTTCACATTTTGGGTCTCAGTTTGCACAATTTCAGAATTTTGTTTTGCATAAAACTGCGGGGACAGCAGTGTGGTGGCGGCAGGCAGGCAGTTGGTGGAGGATCTCACGAGGGAACGAGGAATGTCTGCCCGAGGCCTGTGGTGTGGTGACAAGGAAAGCGGCTAGGATTGGGGGGGGGGGAGGGGGAGTTCGAAGGCGTCTGTGGTAGGTGCTCCCATACTTTTCTTTCTCTTGTGTTGTTTGTGTTTTTCTTACTTTACTTTAGTCCATGGCAGGGCTACTGTAAGGCAGTTACTTTGTCAATGTGTCTCTGTACTCGAAGGAAGTGGTTAGCAGATGCTCAAGTGTGATTTGCTCCTTCTTTCCCATCGAACGTCTACCGTTTTTATCTCTCCTCCTTTTTTTGTAATTGTTACTCTCTTGTAACGTCCAACACCTCTAATCTTCGGCACTTACATGTACTTGACTCTAATTGTGTTGCAAGTGCCGTAATAATACATGTACTCTTACTAAGACAAAACAGGGACAACCTGTGGAAGTGGACGGAGACGCAAGATACTGTTACTATATAATAATGTAATATAATGATAAAAGGAAAAGAGAAGATGCAAAAAGGCCTGCAGGGTGTCGCAAAGACCAAGAGTCGCTCTACTGCACTGCCGTGTGCTTGCTTACAAAAGACACCGTGTTATCAAAACAACAACTGAATTGTGAACAACACAACATTTTCACTTCATCCGTTCATTTGAGTGACTGAGTAGCAAATACTAGGCCAACTAAACCGTTAAAAAAGCAATGCGGTCTTGTGACTTTTGGGCCATCCTGGTATACAAGCAACTAGAAAAAAATGTTTCATGTAATGTTATCAATAATGATGGCAGAAGAAGAAGAGAGCAGTCAGGATCATATTTGAGACACTATACATTTTATACTAGCTTCTAAAAATCTCTAGTATTCCCGTGTATCATTATGTTAGCTCTATCAATAATAATGGCCGGAGGAGAGGGGCCGTCCGGTGACTTTTGAGACACATACAGGAGTCTAAAAAATCCGTCTAAAAATATTACTAATATTATAATATACGGTTAATCCCATGTATGTCATCAGTAATGATGGCCGAAGGATAGGAGCAGTCTGATGACTTTTGAGACTCTTACAAGAGTCTAAAATATCTCTAATATACGGTAAATCACGGGTAGGGCCTACCGTATGTCAGCAGTAGAGATGGCCGAAGGATAGGAGCAGTCTGGTGACTTTTGAGACGCTTTGCACATACAAGAGTCTAAAAAATCTCTAATAATATTCATGCATGTGTATGTCATCAATAATGATGGATGTAGGAAAAGAGAAGCTGAGCCCTCTTCCGTGATGTTTGATTGTCATGCCTGATGTTTTTGACGTGCGGAGTGCCTCTTCGGGATTATTGGCAATTAGTGTTAGGCACGAAATCGTTTATTTGCCAATATTATGAGGGAGAAGCAATAAGCACCAGTACAAAGGAAATCACGTTCTACCCAAAGCTTGAAGTGGAGAAATATTCTGCTTCGCTGGACTTTGATATGACGGAAGTGTGAAAAGAAACATAAATTAATGATTGTTTTGTTATTATTGATTTTTTTCTCTTTTATTTTGTGTTAAAGACTGGCTTATCCGTGGCTCCGATGGAATAACATGAAATGTTGTTTTGGCTCTCTTGGCCCGAAAAAAAAAAGAAGAAAAAAGTGTAGATCTAGTTGTTTCGCATTGGCAAATAATAGGTCTACGCAATTTCAGATTCAGAGGTAAATATTTTTTTTCTTGCAATTGGCTACTGGTAATAAAACGAGCAACATTTGTTTGAATTGCAGTGTATAAATGGCAGCAGCTGCTGTTGTGTGAACAGTGGAGAATATGGTAGTGGTGTGTGTGTGTGTTTGTGTGTGTGT